AGTCTGCAGTGTCTTTCGTGTTCTTTTATCCTGGTATGGATGCTGCGTTTTGTGGTCCCGATGTATACTTGTCCGCAACCCTGGGCACAGCTTTATATTCAAGCTTTTTTTTTTTCATTTAAAAATGTTTTTCAGAATATTAAATTGTAGAAATGGTCCAACCACCTTCTCAAGTCTAGCATTCTCTAGATGTGATGGGATTGCAAGAACTGCTAACCAGCATGGCATATGATTGGAACAGGAATGATAGAGATTGAATTCTCCTAATGTTTATGCATGTATATATGTATAATGCTTAGACGTTAACACGATAGTTTTATCATCATGGAAACAAGACCTTGAGCCTTGAACTTCAGTATTTATCATTCTCTGTTACTGCTGTAGTAATGGAGGTCTTTTGATCAATGTTTAACCACAGCTTAAAATTCAGTGCTAACTATGATTCATATGTTCAATCCATTATGATAAGGGTGTACTTCCTGTCCCCTAGCACTAGATATATGATCCCAGAAGTCCCCAGAGTGGGTAGGACCAAACGTTACAGACTTTTTTTTTTCATTTTCTGCAAACATAATTGAAAACATAATTTCTCCTGTTGGGAAGGTTAAGGGATAAATGAAAAAAAATCCACACATTTTGGCCTGCTCAGTCCAGTGATGTCACAACACTGGCCATGGCACCTTTATCCCCGAGGGAGGACGGAGAAGAAAATGATGCATTCCTGGGCTTGAAAAGTTATCTAGTCCTGCTTTATGATATTTCAAATCAAAGAGAGTATCTGCAAACTTTGAAAGGGCAGTTCCATCATTTCTGACTCATGAACAATATGAAACAATAGAACACATGCCTGATTATATTAAGAATGTTTTTAAATTAAATTTCAGTTGTGACTTTAAGCAGTTAGTAGTATTATCTAAATAAGTTGCACCAAAGATTGAATTTCATAGAATGTATGATGTCCTTTAAATACTCAATAGGGAACACTCAGAAAAGAATCTAAATGTAGTATTGTATTCCAGTAGTATTGTATTCCAGTAGTATTGTAGTAGTAAAAAAATAATGAATACTGTAGAAGCCCATATGTCAGCAGCAGTGGAATACACAGTTTGCCTGCACTCTGTCCTATGTTCAGTTATGACATCATTTGTTTGAAGATTTACTAATGCAGGGTTGGGAAAAAAACTAGGAAAGTGAATAGTCTCTGCCAGATTAAATAGACAATTGGCCTGACTTGATAAAAGACAACTCTGCATGCTTGCTCATATTTTCAGTAAATGTTTGAGATATCTTAAGACTAAGCATGTCATATGTATGGTGAAGGAGTTTCTCACTCACAATATTTGTGGAGAATATCTCTTCAGCAATGGTTTTGGACTCTAGTTTGCAGAATTAGCCTTTCACATAATGTCAAGACAAAAGATAATACTTAGTATGTCTCCAGGATAAGACCACTTTGCCTGGTGGTGTTTTTTTATGTCTATTTCCACACTAATGGATTAATGTGTCTTCTAGATTAGCTAACCATTCTTGAGCTGATATAAAGTCTGCCCTCAGTACAGTTATATCAGTATAGCAATAGTTGGATTACTCTGGAGGTTGCTATAAGACACAAATGGGATTACTGCTTCCATCTCAGAGCTTGAGTGTGACCTCTTTGTCACATGCCTGTCTTGTTTTTTTCCCTTCAAGACAGATTTTGAATTTCTGCTGCTGGATCTGAATGAAGATCGATTAATCAGGAGAGAGAGCGAGAGAAAGAGAGAGAGAGAACATGTTTCGTATCTGGATTGCTGCTTTCAAGAAGATACTCAAATTGCAAAACCTAGCACCAATTTCCATCAGTTCTGTTTGACAGTATTATTGCTAACAACAATAAAAAATACATACTGACTCTCTTTTGTTTTGATTTTTTCTTTAGCGGACTCATTGGGAGTAGCTGGGCTATGGTTTTTGCATCTGGTGGTTTTCAAGTAAAGCTTTATGATACTGTGGAAGAGCAGGTTACAAAAAGCTTGAAAAAAATTGGGTAAGTCACCTAACTTCCTTTTAGTCTAGATAAGATATTGTAAACATTAACATTTTAATTTTAATTTTCTCCTCCAAATCATATCAAGAATAATATGATTAGACCAAAATGAGAAAATCGTAAAGTAAGCCCAGATGATATATGTCAGAGCTTAAAATATTTTACATCTTTAGCATAAAAGATTGACACCCCTTCCTCAATCATCTGTTATGCTGTACAAGAGATACAAAAAAGAATTTGGGATTTCAGAAGCTGTTAGCACATCAGGGATAAACTAAGAAATCAAAAATGTTTTAATTTAAAACATAGCTATACTCCGGTTTTAGAAGTCCAAATTTCTTTTCCAGTTCCTCAAATCTTTATTGTAAAGCATTAACAATAAGCTGAACCCTGTTTTCTGCTCAAGTACTCCAAAAAAATAATTTATCAGAGATTTTTAGATTGGGGTTATTCCAGAGTGTCAGTTTTTAACACAAGAAAGTATTGAATTTAAATTTCTGTCCCAAAATCTTCCATGTGCACTAAATAGCTTTTAATTTTTTCCAGCCTTTAGCTGGGAAAATAACTACTTTTTGACAAAAGGAAATAAACAAGCCCCTGTCAAGATATCAAATAGTAACATTCTAATTGTCTCCAATGGTTTTTGAAATAAATAATTTGAATTCACAAAAAAGCTGAGATCAAAGTTATAAGCCCTATGAGAAAGTTAAAAATTTGTAAAGTTAAAACCCATGTCTTTGTGTGAAAGGCACAATTTTGATTAAAACAAACCTATGGGCTCTGTCCCATAAAAACTTTCTTAATGATTTAGCAGACTGTTTAAAATACCTACAGTTAGGTACATAAGGATCCCTTTTAGAATATATATTAATCTGGAAGTAATATTAATTTTGTTAATTCATTCTTCCCTATAAATCCATGGGGATTTTCAGTCATCTATTTACCTTACTATCCAGCTGAATTAAAAGTGCTGAACTATTTAAATCAATAAACAATGATATTTTTCTAGTAACAATTATTCCAGATATTTAGATGAATTTGTATAAATAAACAAAGCCCTATTCTTCACAAATTCCTTAGATACCTTATATTTAATTGGAATATATTAGACATATTCTAGTTTATTGAATAACCTGACAATTTACCATGCTACTATATAACATCCATAAATTTTGGTAAAGGAATTATCAATAAGACTCACTATGTCATTTGCATATACAGTAGTAACAATTTGAGTTCAACTCCAATGTCCTTTATATACAGAATGTTACCTGATAGAATAGAATAGAATAGAATAGAATAGAATAGAATAGAATAGAAT